TTTCGAAAATATGCAGGTTTCCTTACATGTCCTTACCGCTGAGCACATGATAATTAAGCACGTAATATTGATAATTTCATTGGTATTGGCAACGAAGTTTGAACTCAGGTTGATCGAGTTTAAAGGATTAAAAGCGGAGTTCGCATACTGACACAGCTCTATAGCCGTGACAGCTCAGTGTTAACTACCGGGCTAACGCTTGCTTCGTATGATAAAAGATCATACCAATATAGAATTATTAAATACAAGCGACCCACCCCGGCTTGCAATGTATTATGTCACAATCTTGTAAAAAAAGCCGCAGCCGATCCGTTGCGTAGTTTTAAAGACCTAAGGATAAATAGGGACAGAAAGACAGCGGGACGATTTTTTTTATGCTATGTAGTGATTTCGTGATTACATACGATTTTATAACCTAATTAATTCTTTAGTTCTCAGACTATAACAATTTTTAATTATCATCAGACTACAGTCATTATTTATTATAGACTAGCTGTGCCCCGCGACTTTGTCCGCGTATAATTTAAAGTAAATAAAATTTCTGAAATAAAAGTAGCCTAAGTTACTCCTTATAACATCAGCTATCTTCCAGCGAAAGTGCCATCAAAATCGGTCCAGCCGTTTCAGAGATTTGTCAGAACAAACAGACAGACAGACAAAAATTGTAAAAACTGTTATTTTGGTATTTGTACCGTGTATATTTAATAGTCCAACCAAAAAAACCGAGCAAAGCTCGGTTCTCCAGGTAAATCATGTATTTTTGAAATAAAAAAATAAAAAATAAATAATTCGATCTGGTATAGAAAAAAAAGTAAAAAAAATAAGTGTGTAAATGATCGTCATACGAACCGCGGCTGTCTGTTTAGCGGCCGTCCGATTACCGATCGAGCTATTATAACATTTTTTTTGCATCGAAATTTACCGTCATATTCGAATGATATTTTTCATTCCCTATAAACAGGGATAAAAGGACATTTTCTAAAAATGATACCTAGCTAGATCGATTTTTCGCCACCAAATCTACGCACATATTAAATTTCATGACAATTGCTGGAGCCGTTTCCGAGATTCCGATTATATATATATACAAGAATTGCTCGTTTAAAGGATAAGATTACAAAGTTAGATTTATTTTAATATTAAAAACAGACAGTCCACTAATTACTACTTAGGGATTTAAAAAGTAAAATCCAAATTACTTTAAGAAAGAACGTAACTATCGAAATGTAGTAATTTTATTTAAACTTCATATTTGCGTATGTTTATTTTAATTTAAACACGACTCGGTCTTGACCAGCCGGGGATATTATCTCGAATGAAGACATTATGTTGTCGTGAGGCGCGCGCGCCGTGAACTTTTTGCTGCCACGTCTCGAGCTCAAAGGTGAAGGTCTGACCCTGGACCGGTAATTGAGGAGTTATTTGTTGAGGGAATTGATATTGCTAAATTGCAAAGTTCCTTGTGCATTTTAAAGAACGGATTTTGTGAGTTATAATTTAAATTATAGAATTTCTCTGAATATGCAAAATCTAAATAAGATTTTTGAAGTTTCATGATTCGTATAGGTTCTATTTTAAGGTCAACAATTATTCCTATTCATTCAATCACTTACATATGACACCCTTTTTCTCTCCAAACCTAGTTTTAGTGTTCAATCTGTTAAATAATTTAACAATTGATGGTTGACACTTTTCATAAATATGTATCATGTATATTAAACGATTTCAAAATTTGGCGGCACACAAAGAAAAAGATAAAAATTATTTACTTACTACAACACACTGCATAAATAGTTTATGATAAAAATTTTAAATATACGAAATAAACTAATATATATTACAATAATAACTAAACGTTTATCAAGGGATTAATTACAAGCTAATAATAAAACTATTTTTTATGCGAAATTTGAGCTTGATGTTTTTTGATAATTTCATTTATATTTGGTACTAAAAATGACAATGCTACTCTCATATCGTCTTCTACATTTAACAATCTTGATCTTTTTTAGTTTTAATGTTGGCTAATGCCAAAAAATAGTTTTCTTTTTAAATGATATAATTTAATAATATTAACATTATTATATATTTGCAAAATTTGGCGGCACACTTTTGAAATTTGGCGGCACACAAAAGTGCCGCGGCACAGTGGTTGAGAATCACTGGTTTAGAACGTTAACCGGACAACATGGAAATTGAAATTATCATTAATCGCTTAATTCAATGCACACAAAACACTAAACCTCGGTAACGTATTGAAATTGAAACGCGAAAATATCACCAACAGTGATCCTCATCAATAGATACAAAGACATCAAGATTTAGCGAATAACTTATGCGCGTCGTTGCGAAAGTTACGTTTTCGTAAGCGATTAAGACGGGAACCCGTTTTGGGACCGCACCGGTCGCGGCTTTTTGCGCGGCCGGCATGGCATGTAGCCCGGACGGTGCAGGGCGTCGAGGGAAGGTAAGGAGGGGGGAGGGGGTTGGCAAAAAGTTCACAATGAGCTATCGAGCTGCGGTCTCGTTACGATGAAACAAAGCGGCCACCTAGCACCCATCTGATATCCAAGCTTTCGCACGGAACGAAAACCGCCGGAGTGGGAATCGAAACTACTTTTATTTTATTTGGAGACCACACAATGGGCACGTATATAGTAGTAAGTAATAAATGAAAAAAAAAAAAACGATTACTGATGATACTTCAAGCATTAGCGAAATAGAACAGATAATGTAAAATAATTTTAATTCCGATGGAATATAAATATATAGTTGGTTCTCCGCTTTGCGGAATTTGACCATATGATATCGATTTATAATGATGACATGATTTAGAATGCAGATTCTAAGTATTCATTTCACATACATGATCCAATCTTGTGATCTGCTGTGAAATATCTAAAGTAAAAATCTAGTTCACTGAAATGTTCAATTGTCTACTTCGGTTTACTGTTTCATTAAAACTGGCGTAATAATTTGAAGTTAAAAAAACTGATTTGAATTAATTCTTTACTGAAGTGTAAGTTTAACCCATACTGTTTAATCGATAATTGCTCTACATTTTCTTTATTTATTCCATGTAGTTGTTACGCTGTTTTTTGCCTCTTTTTTCCTTTTATTAAATTGAGGTCTCGATTTAAAAAACGAATGCATCTAGTAACATCGTAATGGAGTCTCATTATTAAAAATTAAATAGATTATATCAAATTGAATATGTCAATGCTAAGATTATAAAAAAATATAAATTTAGTAATAGTTTACCGTTGCAAGAATATGCTGCAAAACTTAATTTGAATAAAAGCCCGTAAATAAATTAAGAGAGCCAAGTCCAGTATTATAAAAAAGACGCTGAGAATTTCTTCTCACTAACCTTAACGATAGACTAGACATTAGTGCGAAATAATTACAATCACATTAACATTTTTTCTTTAGCAGCCATTAAGACTGACCAGTAAAGTTGGCAACCATCCTGGGGGACTTAATGCTGGATCCTAATGATCGGCGTGTAGACGCTTTGTGAATATGGTTGTTAGCATTTATTCACATAATGACTTTATTACGGGCGGGCATCATCGGGCGATTGATGGTTTATAGCAGCACTGCCTCAAGCGTCCATGAGGTCGGTGTTAAAATTTAGAACAGTTATTTTGTGTGAGTAACAGAAAGGAATATATAATAGTGGAGGCGGGAATTTTATTTTTTTATAATTATTTGCAAATGTGTCGATCACAGTTTTTTTCAATCGTTGGTATAAATTGTAATAACGATAAGTTCATAATTTTCTACCTTATATTTTCTTCCAATAAAGTGGTAGAGAGAAATTAAAGTACAATAAGAGAAATATATAAAATAATGAGAGAGCAGTAAAAGCGGCTCAGTGATTATCTTCGAAGACCATATCCTTCACTGACTAGTCACAGCATTTCATTAAATATTTAACGACGAACATATCTAATAGCGCAGAATGAACCAGAAATTATTTAACAATATAAATTAACTCCTAGTAAGAATTAATATGTAAAACACACAGGTATTTGAAAATAAAAAAGTTAAGCTGCTCATAGCAGCTCTCATAACTTAAGAAGATACTTAAAAAAAAAAACCTGGAATCTAGCTTTCAATCGACTTTAACAAATGGTCACCCTTATTAAAATAGCGTTAACGTTTAGTTTGTTAAGTTAATCAATAATAATGGCTTTGCAGTTTAACATACAATATCTTATACTACCCTCCATCAAACTCGTATACAGAAATATATGGGTAATTGCTTCATAGCGGCAGATTGCTCTGGCGGCTCCGTTATCAACGTAATAATGGGTTTAGGGCTTAAGGCAGAGACCATGAGATCGGTAATGTACGCTTACACCCCGATAAACATAGAATACGACGGACTTAGGCACAAAATTAATATGACCTGTTTCAACAAAAAATATTTCTTTATTATGGATTAAACATCCGAGTCCTTAATACCTTCCCACATATCAGAGAAATAAACTTATTGCAAAATGTGTAAAACCTTTCTTTGTTTCTAAGATAAAATATGTGAACTGTGTAAGTATTGATTAGTAACACTACACCTCAGCATCGCAACGCAATGCATAACTCAGTGAACAAGCGTCGACGAATCCATTGAAACCGCCACAACAGATCCATTGAAATAAAAAAGAGAAGATAGCCCATAATTTACGGCTACCGCTGTTAAATTTGTATGGCAACCCTTTTGCATTTCGGCTTGATAATTTAACAAAAATAAACACGTTAATCCGAGCGTGACAATACGATAGCGACCGGGCACATAGTGATGGGCTGTTTATTCAATAAAACTGCGCACATTCCGTGAGATACCGCGTCGTGTACGCCAGTTGGTTGGATTTTTGTGGCGTTGCAAAGTAAGGTTTTGTTTTTTTACCAAAAATTTAACCACACGTTCAAAATTCTAGCTAAAGTAACTTTTGTTAAGTGATTTTTAAAAAGAATTTGCACGTAGTACCCATGTCGATATGTCAAATAAAACATACAACGATCTGATTTGTGAGACTTCGGAGCTTATAGGAGAAGCCACTCAAACGGACGAAGCGGTTTTCGAAGCGGGGTCGGCTGAACGTTCCGTATTTCAGCCACTTTTATCGGAGTTACGTATAAGATATACAGTGCTGGTTCGTAGATTAGACACAATTTACGATCAACTACTGCAGCCACAAAAGCGCTTAATTGTCCGACGCCTTTTGGAAGCTTGCCTGGGAAGATTACTCGAGATCAAGTATGATTTGGTGGAACTGCATTTATCCGATTTTACTTATGACGACGACGAGGTACTTAATTAAGATAGTTATTCCTAGAATATACTCATCAGTTGTTTTTGTTGGCTTTAGTTGAAAAGAGATATAAAATAAATGCTTACAATGTACACTTCAACCTCGGTTATTCAATTTTTCCTAGTTTTTTAAACCTAAACAAAGTCTCTTACTTGGGTAATTTTTAGAGTAACACCAAATGAAATTTTGTGAATTGTTTTCTGTCTTGCAAACTAATGTAGCTAAAATAATTCTATTTTATCATTATTTTTTAGATACTCTTTTTTTTCTGTGCATCGTGTTCAAAGTTGTCTGCCGATAAAGTGTTGTACATGCAGACAGATAATTATGATGTGAGATACTTATAGCACTTTATAAATACACAAAAATTAAATCAATAGCTTAAGCGCGATAGCTCATTACAGCTGCTCACAAGATCTGAAGCGCGGATCGCCTCAAATCCCAGTGTGGAAACTCACAAAATTATTAACTTGAGTTGTTTGTGCTGACACGTTGGACGGCGACAGTAATTATAATATAAATAATACTTACTAATAATTAATAACAATTACTAATAATTAATAATAATTACTTATATATAAATATACTTTCGTGAAGAAATATGTAAAAGTTATGGGTACATTTAAATGAAATGTTTTTATACATAATCATCCTCCTGCCCTTATCCCACCTATGTGGTGTCGGCACAACACGTAAATCATTTTGTAAGAGGTTTAGGCTATGTTTTTTACGACCGGCCGCCTGCCTCCTTGACAAACAAAGACCCAGACCCAGATTATCTGTGGGCCACACAAAGACTTGTCCCGTGTGAGAATCGAACCCACGACCCCCGAATCCGAAACTAATAGCAACGACACCACCAAATTATGTATAATTACTTGCATAATTCTTTCTTCTTTTCAAAAAAGTCTTAATTTTTTAAAAGAAATAAATTTGAATTTAATAATACTCGTATTAATGAGATTCATAAATTAAATTATTGAAATTTATTACCAAACTATTACTTTACAAATCTCAATGATCTATACCATCAGATAATCATGATATTAACAATGTTCCAGGCTTTACAAAAGCTGCAGGTAACACCACAAGAGGCGGAACCATGTGTTCCGCAGTATTTTATAAGGGAAAGAGAAGAAGAATTAGACCAGCAACGAAAGTTCATAACTGACACTCTTAGGAAACTTGGTCACGAAACTTTAAAGCCTCCGTCTTTAGTGTTGACAGAGCAGCAAGCAGTCATCATCATACAGAGCCATGAAAGAGCTCGTCAAGGAAGGCTGAGGTGAGTGTGAGGGTGATTATTGATGACTTGAGATAGATGAAATATATATGAAGATTTTTACAAGGTGTACCTCAACAGCTAAGATATGTTGTAGCGTTTTAAAAGGAATTAATTTATCATGTAATAAGTCTTCATTTGATTTTTATAACTAATTTTTTGGAAGAAATATACCACGGATAAGCGCTGATATTAAATAAAGTCATTGTGTTTTATTTTAATATTTAGGGGGCAATTCATGAAAGAAATACGATTATTAAAAGAAAAGGGCAGAGATCAAAAGGGTGAAATGTCTGCTACGGCAGCCACAGCCATACAACGAGTATGGCGAGGGTTTATAACGCGGCGGATGACACGGCGAAGGAAGCGAGAGGAGCAACTGCTTATTGGAATGGAATTACCTCCTTATACTGAATCTGAGGCAATAAAAAAATCAGAAGAGGTAGATGATGTTATATTTATACTCTGCCATATGCCCCTACATATAGGTACATGTATAATAACACGTTATCAACATCAACCCTCTCCAGTGTGATTCCTAGTCACAGCGGGGGGACAAAGTAGCCAGGCAGATCAGGTTGGCCACGGTGGCCACGAGGCATGCTTGTTTGCACCAGCTTTCTTGGCGGCCACAACCTCTGGTCTCCTTTCCACATAAAAAGAACTGATTGAGAAAGCATCATACCTTTTTACTGTGGTAGGGCGCTAAGGACAACTGCTACGGTTAACAGTGCTTACAGGATCCCAAAGTGTGCAAAAGTGTTTCCGTGGCTCTGCGGATACATACTCTAAATGAAACATGGGTGGAGAGTGGACTTTAGTGTGTGCAAAATATCCCGGCCTTGCTCATACTTCTCCCGTGTGTGAGACCTCTTAATTTTATGTTATATACAAAGTATTAGTTTTCAAGTGTTTTAAATGATGAGTATTATGGGAGATTTGATACTTCAATTACTACAGCCTACTGGCTGTAGTAATGAAAATTCTCTTACTATAGAAAAAGTCACATTGCACTTTCATTTATTGTACTTACCACGATTTCTGCTCACGTCCTGGGTTGGTAGAGGATGCCAATAGGCATTAAGTTCGCCATTTGTAAACCCTTTTGAGGTATTTTCAATAAAGAATAAATAAATAAATAAAAAGATTAGTACTTGATATAGTAAAATAATTTAATGAATGACTAACAAGGTGAAAGAATGTCGCCGAGCACTGCAAAAGGAACGTGACAAAGAGTATCTAGAAGCACTTGTCACTATAGAGGAACAATTGCGGTGTCAACATGAAGTCAAAATCAAAGAGAGAATAGGCGACGAATTAAGACGATGGATATCTGAATATTATGAAAGGACAAATCGACTACCAGAATTTCCTACCGAAGAAGGCGGTGGAAGTCGGGCTATGTTTAGCAGGCAAGGTAAATAGTTAATTATATGTAATGCACTATGACAGATAATTGTCCAGGCGCTCGCTTTTAATTCAATGTATTTGAGCAACCTGAGTTCGATCCCCAGTGAGATCGTGAGGAAACCCGCATACTTTTGAAATAATGACTACTATGTATCTTGACGAAAAGCGATCGTTATAATGAGGAATCACAATTATTTGCTTAAAAGTATTTTAATTAAACTCATGATGATAAAAATACTTAAAAGGATACATACTTTTAAGTTAATTTATTATTTACAAATATTACCCTCCATTAGTTTAATATCACATTAGTTGAAAATAAACATTTTCCTTTCTAAAAATGCTATTAGGGACTGGCGCTGATAGCGACTTAAGCAAATCTTCTCCGGTGTCTTCAAAAGAGTCTAAAAAAAGTAAGGAGAGCAAGGACAAAAAAAGCATCAAAACTGAGGATAACAAAAGTAAAGATGAAATGGACGATTTACAAAATTATAGATGTTCGAATTCGGCATTCTTGCAAGATATTATAAATGCTAACGAAGAGTGAGTTTCTTGAGATTATAGTTTACAGTCATATTTTTGTTTCTTTTTTCAATCACATTATGAATTGAACGAATGCATTTAATTTTAATTATTTTTAGATTTGAAGATATGTGGAAATTTAAGGATGACTATGATGATAATCAGGAACGATACTATAAAGATATAGTTGAGAGAGAAAAAATGGTAAAGATAGAACAAGAAATAAGAAATGTTGTGGATGAAATGATGCGAAACGAACTTGAATTGTTGCAAGCTGCTTTCGATAAAGATAGATCACATAAGGGAAAGAAGGCTAAGAAACCTCAAAAAAAAGTAAAATACACATGAACTGCAAATTAGTATTTTAAGTTCGAATTGCAGTTAATACTTTTATATTATTCAGGTTCGTCGGGGCGGCAAAAAGAGTAAGAAGAAAAAAGAAAAGGATTTAACTCCCGATAGGACAACTGAATCACTGTTCGAAGAGCTTGTAGCTAATGGTATAATACGACCTTACCCTTTAAGGAAGATTGATGACTATATAGGAGAGAAAAGTTTCGTTGGGTGTGAATGGAGAAGTCAAGGCCGCGATCCAGCACCATGCTTGGGTGATATTCGTCAGCTCATAAAAGAATATTGTATACTGCCACTTGGGTCTGAACATATCAGGACCAACGCGCCCCAAATTAGATCTGTACTTTTGACAGGTAAATGCAACGGGAGCATATTCAATTAATTTAAATCTGATGATGATGAAATGATACTTCCAAATATGTACACTTGCAGTTAATATTGAATATTAAACCGGCCCTTAAACGATAATGCAGCGACATGTGAAACTAGGTTGTGCAGGATGACAGCCCTGTAGTCTCGGGCTTATGGAATGGGGTTAAGGTATCCCCTGACTGCCATAAAAGGCGACTAAAAAGGGACACGGACTGGCAGCAGTACGCAACAGTCGGGTTTTTTTTAATGCTAAAAGTTGTCAAACGAGCAGACGGTTCATCTGGTGTTAAGTGAATATCGCCGCCCATGGACATCTACCACACCCGAGGGTTACGGATGCGTTGACAACCTTTTGAAAATTGGGCTCCGGCTACCTTACTCACCAGGCGAAACGCGAAAGTATTTGTCATACTTCCACTTTACGCTGGTCTTCTGTGAGGTCGTGGTACTTACCCGGACGGGCCTGCCCATTCATGGAACAGCCGAGGCTGCTGCCTGGCCCTACCACCGTTAAACCGGGCTACCCTACCACCGGGCTGTTCAAGATGGTGAGGGAATCGGGAAAGGTGTAGCCTTCTCCGACGCATACTCACGCTTAGTACTGAGGGACATCGGATCATCCTGGAATCCCTTCTAACTTACAGAATGTGGCCACCGACGGGGTTTTAGTGGGTATCTTTTGAGGATTTCCCACCCGATACCAAAAAAAAGGTTGTCCAGGTCGTCTGTAGGCTGCTTCTATTTTGTAAAATAATTAAATTTCTTGTTTAGACCGGCTGTGGATCTCCATAGCAACCATATTGTATAATTGTAATTTCTTTCCAGGCCCTTCTGGTAGTGGAAAGAAAATGCTCGTACATGCAATTTGTAGTGAAGTTGGTGCAACGCTATTTGACTTAACGCCATCAAACATAGTAGGAAAGTATCCGGGGAAGTCTGGACTTATTATGTTGATACATTTAGTCATGAAAGTGTCGAGGCTATTGCAACCAAGCGTTATCTGGATGGATGACGCCGAGAAACCTTTCGTAAAGAAAATTCCCAAAACCGATAAAACTGACCCTAAGAGATTAAAAAAAGATTTGGTGAAAATTATAAAAGGTAAAATTCGATGACTTCTTTTTCACTCGTGTGTATGCAATATTTTTTAAGAACTTGCGCTTTAGGCGATATCATTAACGTATTATTGGAATTGATGAATAATCAGTAAGAATATTTTTTATATTCTAGGTGCTTTATTCGGAGGACGCAGGTTCGAATCCTGTACCTCTGTAAATTTGATGCAAAAAAAAAATTACTTTTAGAAACAATTCAATTCAAAATCATTTTCAAAAGTCTTTAATAACATTTTCAGGTATCTGTCCGGAAGATCGAGTCCTATTTGTGGGGACATCGCGAACTCCTTGGGACGCCGAACAGAAACTACTGTTTCAGTGTTATACGAAAGTTATACAAATTCCTAGAGCCGATTACGGAAGCATTTCTCTCATGTGGCGAACGAAATTACACAGGGCTGGAGCTTTGTCTCAAAGGCTAGATGTTTCTTGTTTATCAAGAGTATCGGATTCTTATACGATAGGTTGTACATTTTATATTCATTATATTTTAAAAGTTGTGTTTATGAATACAAAAATTAGAGATCAAAATACAAATTCTCCCGTCTTTGAACACTGGTAAGGTTGTCAGGTATATTGTTGTTAATTAGTTATTATTAATCATGATGCTCATCTTTTCACTTGCGAAGTAAAAGCCATATTTTATTTGTTTATTTTAGGCTTTTTTTAGGTTTTATTGAACGTCAAAACATTACCGCGGTTTAACTAATAGTACCTGGAGGACCGAGCCTTGCTCGGTTTGTTTTTTTTTTTGGTAAATCGTGAATTATCGAGTAATGAAATATGCTTAATATTTTTCGATCTTAACGACGTAATAATAAGAAAATATGAACTGGTGTTTTTCACAAAAGAAAGAACTTTAAAAAAAGGGAAATAAGATGGACAATAATACATATACATATTTATATATGTAAAAATTGCTCATTTAAAGGATAAGATAGAACTGTCATGATAAGAACCGACAGGAAACATGTCTTATTATCCTTTAAAATAATATAATTATACTGATTTGTAAAATCAGTAGCAACCCGCAGGTACAGAACAAGAGACATTTCCACATAATAATTGTCTCTTTCTATTAAGGTAGCTTTTCCAATAAGTTTCAAAGTGTTATTCTGAAATATTAAAATATCTACAATGAACCGATTTAGGTTTTTAGCTATTCTATTTTACACATTTTTTTTTTAGTAAAAGGTGGATATTATAAATATTGTGCTCTCGATAGAGCGTCGGGACAGTCAAAACTTGTATTTGCAAAAAAAAAAAACATGCCGTATTCTAGAAGTTCAATTTCAAGAGGTATCAGGAGCGAAACTTAAAATCGTGCACATACAATTACGGGGCAACGACTTTCGCACAAAATAAATATGTGAGTACATATGTACGCACGTAATAATTTATACGTCTTCTTGAGCGTAACAAAAGAAAAATAACCAAAAATTTTATCCACTGTGCCACTGCACTTTGTGAAAAAGACATGAAATGCGAAAGATAATGGTTTAATTAAATAACTTGGAGTTATAGGTAAATTTTAATATATTGGTTGCCATGTTAATACAGTGAAGTTGGTCGAAGTTGAGGAACTTCGTCCTACTTTGCAATCAACTCCATCATGTCGCTTTTTGGTTGTCGGCGTATGCACGAGCATCGTAAAAATTTTACTCTTGTCTAACTTTGTCAAAACTCGCCAAAAGAAATATACCTCAATAAGAAATATGACTCAGCCAAAAAGTTAACAAAAAAATGCATTCTACACTTTTTACAATTAGATTTACAACTTATTACAATTACATATTTATACAATTATTACAACTTAATACAATTAGATTCATGACCAGATATCGCGAACTACGAAAAAGTTTATTGGTATACTTACTCGCCAAAATGTTAAAGAAATTTTGCATAAATCAAATATTTCGAAACAAAATATCCTTTTAAGTCAAATATTTAATTTATTCCACAGTGTCTTTAACACTGAAAAATGCTTATTCCGCGCGGGATATACTATTAACGAAGATAACTTTGTAAGTAATAAACGGTAATTGGAAAACAGATCCTACGAATAAATGGAGATAAGAAATCGAATTTCAGTAAATGAGTTTTGTTTTCTAAAAGTAACAATGCACATAACGTTCAAGTCGCAGATTACATTCCAAAGCTCTTTGAAAGCAAAAGCTGTGAGTTTTTAATATGCAGCGAGGTGAAACTTTTGCCCTAATAATAATCATATTGCGTTTTTAGAATGATTTCTATAACGTTTGCTTAAATAAAAAAAAAAAAAAAAACACCCACACAAAAAGGATGGTTGACCACTTATTTTATTTTCCTCCGAGAAATCTAATTAAAACTTTTCCCTGCCTGTTCTTGTCTTATTTATCACTAAAATCTATCGCTGTATGAACATTTGTTTAAAATCTCTTAATCTACTTCAAAAATATAACAGACTTAATGATTGGTAAAGTAAAAGCTAGTTTTCGAAAATTCCAATTCGGACCCGCTTCCTTTTATGTCAGTTTTAACATTGCATATTATTCCTTATCTACTTGATGTACTACAGCTTCCGTAGTACTCGTAGTTTAGCGTTTGCTCCACCAGCCTTAAAATTTAAGACTCTCCCCAGGTACTCTGCTATCGGCGTTAGACGATGTTCTCACTACCAAAAGGCGTCTGCAGTTAAGAGTTCGGGCTCTCACAGCCCACGAAATCGCGGTGCAACTGAGTTTTAGGGAGCCAGTTTACGCCGAACATGTAAGTAATATCAAAGAAATTTTTGTAACAAGTCTTTGAAGCGTATTGAAGATTTCTACATACTAATAACGACTGAATTTCTGCCGAAATTATACCGCTTGCTCGAAAATGTTCGTGTATTGATATGGCGATTACACTATCAGAAATAGGTAATACAGTGTTTTTATGTAAATCAGTTCTCAGATCAAATCACGGTAGGTCGTAAATTTATTCGGTAAATTATCAAAGTGGCATTATAATAGGCGAAGAGAATGAGATGTGCCTCCCGTTTTGAAAGAAATGACAAATCAAATTTAATGTTATCTATTATTACATAGATTCAATTTTTAAACTCGCTTAATTATATGTGAGTGTCATAGACAAACGTACGTTACGTTTTCATTCCAAAACGACTCAACCGATTATCATAACTTATAACTTTGTACATGTATTGTCAGAGGTATTGAAAAAAGGACTTAGAATTCTTTTAAAAAAATATATTTTTTAAGAAAAGATATTTATTTAAGGGCTTCAACGCGGCCGGAGCCATGGGCAAAAAGCTAGTTCAATATAATTTTATGCAATCGCACCATAATCAAGCTCATTGCCGCTAATATTTTCTTTCGTTTTATTCTACCTAACAGTTGTAGCTTTAAACATATTCAGCATACTTACTTAAAAAATATTCTATGCGTAGGACGCTGCGGCAGAAATGTGGTGGTTCAAGACACCACTAGAGAGGCGGCGGCAGAAAGTGCTACAAAGGATCGAGGAGTTGCAACAAGAAAATGAGGAAAGGGCTGCTACTGGAAAATAGTGCGCACCTAAAAATGCTTACTTTCTGATCTTTGTGATTGGTGATTAAGTTGGTCTTATTATAAAACAAATAATCTTAAAACGTGCAGTTATAATTTCATATTTTGACTTTTATTTAAGAAAAATAACAAAACATTTTCGCGTGCTACTATTTCTTAAAGCAGGTCCGTTATATCGGCTACAACGTCTAAGGACTGAAAGTGACAATATCAACCATATAAAGAGATAAAGAAAAAGAAATTTGTGTGACATATTACAGGAAACATAACAAGAAACTAAAAACCTGTCAAGAACTATGGGCATAGTGTGTCTTACTCAAATAACAATATGCTAAACCTTTGATATCAAAGTTAATCCTATAAAGTGTGCCGCATTTAATATTCCTGTAAATTTCTCGGAAATAGCCGTACTTATTCAGAGTTAAATCTCGAAGCAAAAAATGTGTGTACTGTGAAAAGGATGCAGACAGCAGCTGTAAATTTTCTCACGAGGATTTTATAACTGAAAAAGAAAGTAATATCATTTTCAATTGCGTTTTTGAGCACGAAACTTTATAACTTCATTCAAATGCTGCACAGAATTAGAAAAAAATAAAAGTTTAATAAATATTTAATTAAAATTAAAATTATTTTTTGATTAGATTAGTTAGATTTCAGACAGTTTTTGTTGTTTAAATAAAGCGATTTAAATAAACGTAATAAAATTTTCCAAAGGCCTGAAGCAAATGCCAATCCTTGATATTTCATCATTATCGGATTTCCATTATTGAACCTCTTTTGGGACGATTCAATGATAACTTTAGCTTCGAGATCCGTTGCGCAGTTTTAAAGATCTAAGCATACATAGGGACAGACAGACAGCGGGACGACTTTGTTTTATACTATTTAGTGATGATATGTCAGAGTTAGGTGAATCACCGCCATCCCTTAGTTCAAGGTACGTGCCCAATCAAGTTCAGAACACACTTCCGCATTGACTTCCACAACTCATAGTCGTCAAGTCCGCTCTCTTACTTCCTGTATCGACCTTACTCAAACGTACTACTTGATGTTTCCAAGAGCTTGCAATAGATGGTATTGTAATCAAATTATGGCGCCATATCTTGATTCTGCGACATATATACTTATCTATGGTATTGTATAGTTTTATTTGATATTAATAGTATAGTATTTTCTTAGTAGTCTTAATATGTAATGTAGATATTTTAAAATTCTTATGATTGCTTTTTTATTTCTAATAAATCTACTTAAGTTTTCTGGACCAATCCAAGGTTAACTGGGAGATGATGCTGATGACATTAACAACATTTTTTGGGGTACATTATAAGGTAATTATTTTATTTTATTAAAAACATGAGTAAAAAAATTATGGAGTTTATGGAACTATTAATGTTCACTATGAAATTACTAGTAAGATGGAATATTTATTTTTTAAATTTGAACATTTATAATTCCAAACACTTTTTTATCACCAAAATTACTCCAAAAGAGAGATTAAGCATAGTTGATATCCAATACATGAACATTCCTAATTAAGCTCAGTGAAATATAATTACATTTCTAATCAAGCTTAATGAAATGTAAGCAAGTAGTCCACACTTTTAGTAATGGTATACGAATCTTTGTTGGCATTGTTTACCGTGCTAAACATACACAACGCAGATTTGCGTACAGGGTTACAAAAACTTAACGAACGCTACAAAGCGAAATCCAGTTGGGTTTTTAAAGCAGACTTTGCAAGCAAACGATAAAAAGGCGGGCGCTAGGCGCTGGCCTTTAAGCAAGGCAGAGCATCAGCGTTTGAGAGTTGTTAGCTCGCCCTTTGCGTGCAGGCCGTAAATTTCATATTTATACTATTTTTCTGCCGGTTCCGTTTGACGGGTTCTTTTGTTTTCTTTGTATGAGTGCTGTTGTCGCGCACCGTAGGACCGCAGTTTTTTTTTTTAGTCTAGGTCGCACATTTGGGCTGAACTGAATGTGAGTACGGCCATTGAAAAAAACTGACCGGTTTATTTTACGGGTACAAAATTTTAGAAGAAATCACTCTGCGACCACATTATCTAGTTACACTTCTTAGAGCGCGTTTGGAAACAACTTCATTATGGGAGACAACTATTTGCATACACGCACACATCGACATGAAATGAGCTCCATGCTAGTCGATAAGTCTACCTTGATAAAATCTCAAGGCCTTGAGACGCCAGGAGAAATCACCACGGAATTCTGGCATCCCCATGATGCTTTATTCATAATTTATGATACCCTTGCATTACTCATGCACTAGGTAAGGTAAGTTAATGTAAAGAAAAACTTAATAGAAAACTTTGAACAGGAAAAAAACGTTTGCCAATTCTGCACCGGCAAAGAGGGTAGCGGGGTTTTTCTTGAGAATGACCAATACGAGTACAAATAATAAGTAAAATCGCTATTCAGTTTTAAGTGTTATTATCAGGAAATCAATCCGTTATGACCAACATTGATTATTATACCTATCGTCACTTTCGTCAGAACAATTTTCATGGATATTATCGTTCATATCGGCCTCTACCATTTAAGAGACATAAACAGACTTACGGTATGCTATGAGTACCTACATATAGAATATCATCAAGATGGATTTTATCTAAGACAGCCATTATCACCATTTTCAAATCTCACTGAAATGAGATTTTCCCATTTTAAATTAAACTTTTTAGACGCGTAGGAACTGCAGAAATAAAGAAAATTTTAATAAAAAAAAGTTTCGCATCGCAGTGGAAATAAATTTAACAGTACATTCAACCCATTATAAGATAGCAATCGTTTCGCAAACTGAAAATTGTTATCATAATATAATACAACGAAGAACGAATTAAATAAACAATTGTTTTTGAATTATTATATATATACTCTGCTTTGAACGCCGAAAAAAATTGTACTCAAATAATACTACAAGCTTACTTAAAGGTGCATAACTATTTGTAATTATTATTTTTACGAGCTGGGGGTTTGGGATTGGAGTGAAACACCTGTTTAGATGTTTACTTTATTATCGCCAACAAAGACGTGCACAGCGGCCCACGCAATACTGCTCTAGTCCTTACTACTGCCATCGGGGCGACGTCTCTCCCGTTCCGCACCAATCTTACAATGACACGATTGCCGGTGCGCTCCCTCTCGCGCCAATCCCCAAGCGTCCGCTAGTGCAACAATCCACGCGCTCCGTACCAACCCACTGCCTACATTACACTACTAGTCACTTCGCGTGACTGTTCACTACTATACTGTCCACTATACTGTTCACTCACTATTACTTCACTTTCCACTTCCTTCTTCCTCGAGTTCCTCCACTGAACTGCGAACTGCTGCCGTCTAACGTGCTCCGAGCCCCTTTTATAGTCGGAATTTCGTTCCTTTTTTAAATAAAGTTCTGTAATTCGAACCTTATTTCAAATTATATTTTTAATAATTTAAAAGAACATCTTATACGTCTTTCCAAACTGTCATCGACGGATCGTTGACATTTAAGACGTCAACCCCGTAATCGTAACATTATATATTTACAAGGATTTTTATACTCAAATATGCAAACATGTTCATATAACACTTGTCAAAGGCCCTATATAAAATAGTACACGTTAATATTTAGTAATACAAATTATTTTTAAAATGGAAATCGAACACACAAGTATCTGTGCAAAGCAAATCGCTTCTTAGTATGTATATAATCTAAATGCGAATGGAATTAAAAAACAAATGAACTTTATTTAGTCAATAAGATGAAATCGTCTAAGCAAAACTAGACGTATAGACAAAATTAACCTTTTATTAAGAACTAGTCTGCGCTCGATTGCCGATTCACCGTATGACCGATGTCGCTTACGTTTATAGATATAGCCAGACAAGTAAAGCGACCTAATTAAAATAGATTAAAATCCACACAGCCACAATTCATTCGACCGCAAGGTCTGATGGCGTTTTGTGCCCGGAACTTGTAAGAGATGAATTCCCCCGCAGACCACTCGTGATTGTACATATAAGGAGTACAAATTAAATGGACAAATTGTGAGAAAACTCTAGTATTTAGAATGTTTTTTTTAGTGCTAGTCTCTGCACTCAAGATGAAATTTTGAATTTAAATTTTTGTAGGTAAATGAACAAAAATCATCGGTGCTGCGGGATTCGAACCTGCGTATTTTGGTTATATTGCTAATATGTCCAAACAATATCTAATGATTTAACATCTATTTAAATCCTTCTATTACACCTATTGAATGTTGCTATTTTAATATAGTATTATTTTTTATTGAAAAAAATTTCCGAACCGAAGCGGCAGGGGTGCAAAATGCACCCGTCAGACATCAATAATGTTGTTAGTAAACTTACTTTACTTTGACTGAAAATAGCTTCAGTTCCAAATCGATCGATTATTAAAGCTTCATTGATTTCTTTACTTTAGGATAGCATTATCCTGTGTTCTATGGACATTTCACTTAGCCAATACCGATTCGATAGCCAATACCTTGGCGACTGCGCCACGGAGTCATCAAATATTAAGCTCCCACGACGTTGATACGATCCGCCACGTTGGGTAGGGTCGCTCATATGCCCCGATGACCGTTGTCTTTATTTATCTTTGGCTGGGGGCGTTGAGAAGTGGCCTGAAAGGCTGGTGTACCTTGCGTACGCGCCGTGCCTATTACTACTACTACTAGTCACTATGTGTGGGAATAGTGCTGATTATTGATGTAGTTGGGGAATAAGGGTTTTCGATTGCAAGCCTCGTATTGGCTATCGCAGTGTAGATTGACCCGCGCTAGATTTTTTTATGCGAGAAAGTGGTAAACGAGCAGGTGAACCGTCACCTGATGTTAAGTGATAACCACCTGCCTATGGACATTTGCAACACCCGTAGGGTTGCAGATGCGTTGCCACCTCTTAATAGTATGGGTCACGGCTACCTCACTCACCAGACGTAACGCAGAAGTGTATCACTCCTACTTTACGCCGCTGTTCTCTG